AAAATGCTTCCGGTGAGCTCACCGGAAGCACTTTTTCATCAAAACAAGATGGCGGCGCCCAGCTGATGCCGGTACCGGGCCGCGGCATAAAAAAGATTGGGGACCACTGCTCTAGAGGATTTGTTACGGATAGTTTTAAGGTGCTTTGGAAAAAAAAAAAATTCCAGGTGCTGCTCTATGATGCCAGTAGGGTTCTCCCACAGCAGTCTTTAAAAAACTTAAAAAACTAAAACGTCAGCCCGTCTCCCTCTGTCTTAACCAAGCAAGATTTGAGGCAGGCCGAAGCAGACTCAGGGAGGTTCGCAGTCGCGCACAAAGGAATCCATGCCACGGGGTGACAGGCCAAGCGGTGGATGCAGACCAAGGGAGCCGAGACTCACCTGCTCTTGTGGGAGGATGACCACCTCTATCTCCCCCATCCCCAGCAAGATGCTCAAGGCTCACCCACCTTGGCTGCTTCCATGCTGGTTCTCTCGCCGTCCCTCTTGCGGCGATGCCTGACGTGACCGCCGTCACCCGAACGCCCTGTTGCTCTTGTAGATTGCTCGCGAAGCCGAGGCAGCCATCTTTCACAGGCAATTGTTCGAAGAGCTCCGCCGGCTGGCCCCCCTGAACCGAGACCCTACCGAAGCCGCCGCTGTGGGTGCCGTAGAAGCCTCCTTCAAGTGCTGCAGCGGGGCCATTATTGTCCTCACCAAGTCTGGAAGGTAGGAGGCGGAAGGCGCTGGCCGAAGTCGCGAGGACTGATTTGGCTCGGATGGCCAGATAACGAAACGCGCCCTGCTGCTGAGCAACTGTCTCTTTTCTTCTTCTCAAGCACAGGTTTTCGGTCTCTGGATGGAAGCGCTGCCAACGTAGCCTTGGGCTAGCTCTTCCCAGGCCGGGAGCTGCTTGCTTAGCCAGCGGTCCTCCAGCTTCACAGTGCCATAGGGTTGGACAGGATAATAAAGGCCCTTTTTAAAATTGAGTTTGTGGATCACAAACTTTGTTTGTGATAAGTGTTTGCCCAGTTTTTTCCAACTTTCCAGATGTGTGGAATTCAACTCCCAGAATTCATGCTGGCTGAGGAATTTCTGCCGAGTTTGAAGTCCACACATCTTAAAAGTTGTCAACGTTGAGAAACACCATCTCAGACAATAACAATGAAACAGCAGCTTGCTCGTTTCACAAAACCTAGTGGTAATTTTCATGGGCTCATAATTTGTCTGGGCAAGTCTTTTAAAAAAAGAGGTCACTCCCCAGGGCATAAGCCTCCAGAAAGTTTTAGGCTGCCTCTTTTATTGGAAAAGTTGCAGGGGAGGGGTAAGTTATTGTTATATAAGTCATAAGGAGCCCTCTTTGGCACAGTGGTTAAGAGTGCAGTACTGCAAGCTACTTCTGCAGCCAGCTGCCTACAATTTGGCAGTTCAAATCCCACCAGGCTCAAAGTTGACTCAGCCTTCCAAGGTGGGTAAAATGAGGACCCAAATTGTTGGGGGCAAGAGGCTGACTCTGTAAACCGCTTAGAGAGGGCTGGAAAGCACTATAAAACAGTATATAAGTAAGAGCGACTGCTATTTTCCTGCCAGCAGTTCAATCCTGACCGGCTGAAGGTTGACTCAGCCTTCCGTCCTTCCGAGGTGGGTAAAATGAGGACCCAGATTGTTGGGGGCAAGAGGCTGACTCTGTAAACCACCTTGAGAGGGCTATAAAGCACTATAAAGTATATAAGTCTAAGTGCTATTGCTGTTGAGTGGGCAATGTCCACAGCTCAACAGCTGTGTAATACATGCCAAAGAGAGTGTCACTGAAACTTTGATCTCATTTTTATCAGCACAGAGTTTTGCACATTAAAGGGGGTGAGCTTCCTTGTGATTCAGTGTATAATGGGACCCAGACCACCATACTAAACCCTAATGTTTATCTGAACATAAGTGTGTTTCAAGAACAGAGCAGTGGCTTGGTTATGCCAGGCTTAGCATGCCAGTCAACAGGCTGCAAGTCTGCAGTTCGTTTATATCTCTGTTGAAACTGCAGAGCGAATTTATTTTTCTGCAGATCAGACCAAGCCATGTCTGCAGTATTGTTTGCAGCTAGAATTGATGCAGAGTACTGATTCTCCAAAACAAGGATTATCTGGGGGAAAAATATTTATGCAGATTTGGAGGAAATAACACTCAGGAAAAAAGAAGCAACTGAAATGAGCAATCCATTATATTGGCACACCCTATGAAATAAAGAACATAACTTCCTGCTAAACCTTCCTTACTGTTTTCTCATAAAGGGTTCCTACCTACTGTTTGCTTCTGAAATACTGCATTTTGCAAATATAATTTAGTTCTGGATTGTATCCCCCTAATCATATTTCTGTAACGCTTTCGATTTCTTAATAGAAATCGATACAAAATTGCCTCATTTGCAAATATTTATGATGCTTGATGTTGAGGGAAATTGGAAAGAGAAACCAACAATGTTCCTGTCAGGACGCCCAACAAATCCACCCCCATTCAAATCATAAGTCTCTAGCCACATCTCTGAGAAAAGAGAATTGATTTATTAGAAGTGGCCATGTTGGCGATGCAGCCGATACTAAAATATATCATTCATTTCCCCCTTGATCCTGGGCTTTCCCCCAGGAATGTGTCCTATTGGAGAATGTGTATTCTCCAATTGGACTCATCCATAGCCAAGAGTCATCAATCATGCTCTCCAGTAATATTCTTGCACTCTGACAACTTTGGGCTGCCAGGGTGATTATCTAGGCACTTGAGGAACACACTGTTTCCCCCCACTCCATTTCTGCTGGCAGCTAAAAAGACCAAAGGAATATCTTTTTAGTTGACATTCAGCTCCCCTCACTTCTTGAAGGTTCCATTTAGGGCAGATATTTTATTGAATATACTAATTCTGTAGACTGGGAGCCGATATTTTTAAAATAATACTGGAACCAGTTGAAACCATGATATGTATGTATTAATCTCAGTGTCTCTTTTTTACCCCCACCCTGTGTGCTCCCCATTTTAAAGCAAAACGGCACTTGCAGAATTGTGTACGTTCCAGTCGGCTGGCGGTGGTGAAGGTGATTAAACTTCCCAAATCTTTTTCCAGATCTGCTCACCTGGTGTCCAGATACCGACCACGGGCCCCCATCATTGCTGTGACCCGTAATGCTCAGACCGCCCGCCAGGCCCACCTCTACCGTGGCATTTTCCCAGTGATGTGCAAGGAGGCAGCCCTGGATGCTTGGGCCGAAGACGTCGATCTCCGTGTGAACCTGGGCATGAATGTTGGTAAGAAGTCATTTAGGGGGGGGGGGTGTGTGTCTTAGGTTTCCTTCCTGTAAGATGAGCCTGGAAGCCGAAGGGAGCAGCTACCTTCTGCACTTTCCAGAAGCTGGTAACATTTCGGGGGTGGTACAGCGGGAATCTCCAAACTTGGCAACCTTTTAAAGACTTGTGAACTTCAACTCCCAGAATCCCTCAGCCAGTCATACTGACTAGGGAATTCTGGGAGTTGAAGTCCACAAGTCTTAAGGCTGCCAAGTTTAAAGACCTGTTGTACGCCACCAAGGGCACACACTCCAATATTAAAAGTTAATGTTCCCAGCATTGGGGTTTAAAAAATTCAGCTGTTCCTATCTTCTAAGGCAGGAGTCTCCAAACATGGCAACTTTTAAGACTTGTGGACTTCAACGCCCAGAATTCCACAGCCAGTCAATGCTCACTGGGGAATTCTGGGTGTTGAAGTCCACAGGTCTGGTTTAAGAGAATAATAATGGAAGCTGGCAAAAACAGTTTGAAAATGGTGGTCACATCACTGCGCCACAAATAGCCGTGAAGGTTGCCAAGCACCCAAATTGAGATCACAGCGCGGAGGGACCATGGCCATAATGACTCCGAAAGTGGGCTGTAAGTAGCTCTGCGGAAGAGGGTTGGAGTAATTTCATTGTGGCGCAGTGGTGAGAGTGCAGTACTCCAGGCTACTTCGGCTGACTGCAATTAGCAGTTCGAATCTCACCAGGCTCAAGGTGGACTTAGCCTTCCATCCTTCCCAGGTGGGTAAAGTGAGGCCCCAGATGGTTGGGGGCCATAGGCTGACTCTGCAAACCGCTTAGAGAGGGCTGCGAAGCACTATAAAGCGGTATATAAGTCTTAAGTGCTATAGCTATTCTCGTTTTGCATCTTGTGTGAATTTAGTCTGTTGGGTTTAATGCCTCACACAAACCGGATTAAGGGTTAATTTAATAATTAGGAAGCATTGTTGGTCATGAAGTGTCGGAGACGGTGTAGCATGGGGGTTAAAGTGTTGCATTGGGATTGGGAATCCAGGTTTAGGTTTCAAGGCACATGGTGGCCCAGTGGTTAGAGTGCAGTACTGCAGGCTACTTCTGCTGACTGCAATTTGGTAGTTCAAATCTCCCCAGGCTCAAGGTGGATTCAGCCTTCCATCCTTCCGAGGTAGATAAAATGAGGACCCAGATTGTTGGGGGGCAATAGGCTGACTCTAAACCGCTTAGAGCGGGCTGTAAATCAGAGAGTGAAGCAGTTTATAAGTCTTAAGTGCTATTGCTATTAAAGACTCTTATTGAGCAACCAGTCACAAGTCAAAGAGCTCCCTCTGGATTCCGCATTAACCGGTCCTGCTTTTTCACGTGTCCTGTTTTGATCCTTTCCCAGGCAAAGCTCGTGGATTCTTCAAGTCAGGGGATCTGGTCATCGTGCTTACTGGCTGGCGCCCTGGATCCGGTTACACCAACACCATGCGTGTAGTGCCTGTCCCGTAAAACGGACCCTGGCCACAATCGCCCCCTCCTCCCGCCTCACCCCCCCCTTCCTGTCCCTCTCGCATTAGACCAGCAACTGCTTGCAATATTGTTCTTTGTCTGTAGAGCGGATAGTGACTGCCCTAAAGCCATCGAGTGCAGTAACCGGGGAGGCGGAAAAGAAAGAGACTTTCAATTTAGAAATACTTGAAATAGTTTGATAAGTGGAACCTCCTCCCCCTTTTCTCCCTTGCCCTGGGCTATCCGGCCTTATTTGTTAGGAGCCAGTATGATCCAGCAGCCGGGGATCGTCCAGTTTCTCTTCTGGAGCCAATCTCCTCTGCAGGGAAACCAGGAATCTTGGCTGGCTTATTTAGTACGGCATTGTAGGCGAGGCTTGGTGTCATACTTGTCCTAAATCCCACCTTTCCCAGCCTCTCCTCCTTTCTGTAAGTCTGTGTTGTCAGCACTCTGCCAAAACACTCCTCACGGGCTCTGCTACACCATAGTTGGCTTGATCTTGCAGGGCCCGTCTTTGTCCTCGCTGCGAAACACGCAACAAATGCTTGTTCCCTTGTAAGCCACGATGCACCTCACTTGATCAGATCGACACACACTCCAGTAGGGGGTTGACACAAGCCCCCTCTCCTGCCCCTGGGAAGTTTTAGAAAGCAAATCTTTTTCAGTCTCCTGTTCCTCCTTGCCAGTAGACCCGAAGAATATCAGATTATATATATAGATGTAGATATATATATATTTCACAGTGGGTTGGTTCAGGAGTAGATTGTGCTGTTTTTGACAGCCTAGGAAGATTTTTTGGGGGGGAAACCAATCTGCTCAGGAAACTGAATGCAAGCAAGCCAGGCCACCGGAATTGTTCCCATCACTGCACTCCACCCAACCAAAGCTACCCAGGGTTGCTTTTGCCGCTGTTGTTGAGCTGTCTTGTGTTCCAGTTTTGAGTCATGCCTCCTGACAGTGCACTCTGTAACTCTCTCTATACATTACCTGCTGTTAAAAAGAGATGCATCGGATTGTCAGATGCTACTTAATACATCAATAAAGCAGAGTTCAACCCATCCTTTCCTGTTTCGAAGTTTACCAACCCACAGCTGGGTTGGTGTGCCGCATGAGAAATAAAAGTGAATTGGGTAGAGGGGCTGGGAAGGGTATGGCTGGCACCATCATCCTGAAATGTCCTTTGGTTCAAAATACAGTTATTAAAATATCACTTTCCCTTCTGCAATAATGATGGAAATTGAGGCCAATGTCTTCCCTTCCACGCCTCAAATAGCAGCAGTTACTTAGAAAGAAAATTTGCAATGGAAAACACAACTGTAAAGTATAAACCCCCTTGTTTTCAAGGAACCACATAGTGCCCAAGTAAACTTCTGTGCTGCACTATTGTTTAGTATGTATAGTTTAGATTTTGGGTTTGGTTTTTTTGCATATAACTATGGAAGATGATAAAGCTTTTAGGAATTCCCATTATTTCATCTTTACATTTATATATTTTCCTAAAACGTGTAGCTATAGATGTGAAAATAGTTGGACTTAAAATGTCGCAGAAGTAGAGATACTGTAAGCCTGCTCAACCAACTAGCTCGCTGAAATACAACAAACCCCAAAATTCCCAAGTTCTGAGAGTTACAAAACCATATTCAGTGATGAGCAGTGAACAGCCTCCATTCAGCAGGTGGCCCCAGATACAATCTGGAATGGATTTTTTTTTCTTTTTACAACTTTAGCAACTTTTTAAGTTGAGTGGACTTCAACTTTCAGAATCCCCCCAACCAGCAACGCAAAGCAAACTTGAGATCTTCCCACCCCCCAGATCCATCTGTTTTATCTTGTGTGCACCCAACAAAGGACACCTCGGAAAAAAACACCCCAGTTCTTGGCAGAAGATGTGGCAGGAGCTCCTGGGAGATTTGTGTCAAGCAGCAAAAGTGAAGGTCCGCCCTCGGGGGTGGTCCTTGCACGGGAGTTTCTCCAGGGATCTGTTAATGAGGTTGATCCTGCTTTGTAGCTTCCAGCGGAAGCTGGCAATCTCTTAAAAGACTGCAAAGCATCTTATCTGCCCCTGGAGGTTTTGATGGGGAGTTGTGTGAGGTCTCTTTTGCAAAGGGAGTTGTGTCTCTTTAGACAACTGCTTTGGGCCAGGGCCCATTTTTGCAAGTCCCTGTGGCCAACTCTTATTATTCTGCACCCCTAATTTTTAAAAACTCCCTGCTGAGCTTATGTTCCCCTGCCTTTTTTTTTTTTTTACCTCAGATGACCTTCCAAACAAAGCCATAGCTTACAGCTTTTGTTTTACTATTTTGTAGGACCTAAAGTCCCAGGTCCCAGAGACAAAAAACAACCAGAGGTAGAAGTTGGAGCTATGCAAGGCACCATGCCCAATTTTTTTTTTAACAAAATTAAAAAGTGGGACAAGAATTGGTGGATCGACTAGGGACCCAAAGGAGCAGCTTTTGCTGCTGCTGTGTTAAAGAGGAATGATTTATCTGGTGTGTAGGTCATCCTAGCTCAGGAATTGTGCGCTGAAATGCAGCAATAGCACAACTGGAAATCGGAAATTCCATTGCTAAGCATTGTTAACTGTTGTGCCCAGTTTTATGACCTGTTTTGGCATGGTTGTTAAACGGGTCACCGGTTATTAAGTGGATCATGCTGTCATGCAAATCTGGCTTTCCTATTGACTTTGCCAGCTGGGAAGCTCTCAAATGGCCACGAAACTCCAGGATGCTGCAGTGATTATAAACTCAGTCAGGATTCTCAAAGTCATCCAGGGGCATTTTGTCAAGAAGCAACTGGACTTTCTGTTGTTTTTTTTCTTTTGAAGTTGTTTCGCTTCTCATCCAAGAAGCTTCTTCAGCTTCCCCACCATCCAGTCAGAGCCGAAGAAGCTTCTTGGATGAGAAGCGAAACATCTTCAAAGAAAAACAAGAAAGTCCAGTTGCCTCTTGAAAAAAGACCACCTCCGTGATCTCTCAGCTGGCTTGTTTTCTTGCAGACGTTTCATGACCCCACTAGGTAACATCATCAGTGGTAAAAGGGCTGTATAAACCCCACGGCGTCCTATCCCTGATGATGTGACCTAGTGGGGTCATGAAACGTCTCTGCAAGAAAACAAGCCAGCTCAGAGGGTTTACTTCCGAGTAAACGGGCAATCCGATCTGGAGGAAGGGCTATGCCTTGTTGCATTGCAGCCCCTGCTGCCGCGGGGGTCTCTGACCCACCGCTAAGCCACCTCCGTCCTGAGGAGGCAGCGGCCCCTTTAAGAGCGAAGGAACTTTTTTTATTCCCCCCCCCCCCACTCCTTCCCAGTCCGGCTCGCCCCCCCATCCTTTCTTTCTGGTGGGGCGTGGCCTCGCAGCGACGGTGTTGGAAGGAGCCAATCGCGGCGCGAGGCGGGAGCCGGGCCGCCGCCGCTCATAGGCTGCCGAGGGGGCGGAGCCTGAGCCGGCTGATCGCGCGCCGCAGGCGTTCGGGGAGGGGCGGGGGCAGGGAGGGAGGAGGCGATCGCGGGGCCCGCCGCCGCCGCCGCCGCCGCGCAGGTATGCGAGTTGCCCGGTCTCCGTGTCGGCCGCTTCGTGGGAATGGGGCGGTATGCGAGGCGGTGACTCGCGAGCCGGGAAAAGAGCTCCGGGGCTCAGCCGCGCCTCGGGATGGCGGGTTGGAGGGTCCGTGTCCTGCTGCTGCCCCGAGGAAGGTGCGGAGCTGAAGGAGCCGCTGCTGCTGCTGCCGCCGCCTTTGTATGTACGTCGGGATCGGCTGAAGGGGGCGGGGGAGAGAGAGAGAGAGGCGGGGGGGGGGGGCGGCCGCGGGGGGGCGCCTCGCTTTCTGCCGTCGTCGGAACCCGGGAGGAAGGGTGTGTGTGTGTGTAGACACGTGTCGGCTCCCCGTGTCGTGGGACAGGAGTGGAAGAGAGGCTGCTGCGATCGTCTTTGCTCGGGGAGGGTGGCTGTCCATTTCGGGCAGGCGACCTCCTTGCAGAAGCCCTGCGGGGGCTTTGCTATCTGCAGTCGTCGGAACCCGGGATATGGGGCGGGGCGGGGGGTGGGGAGTGCAGACGCGTGTCGGCTTCCACTCTCGTGGGGAAAGGATGCGGGTTATCCGGGAAGAGAGGCTCCTTCTGCTCGGGGACGGAGGGGTGTGTGTGTCTTAACTCGGGCAGGCGAGCTCCTTGCAGAAGCCGCGCTTGGGATTGGCTTTCTTGAGTCGTGGGAACCCGGGCGAGGGTTAGGGTTAGGGCCTGTCTCGTGGGAAAGGAGTGCGGGTCAGCCAGCCAGCCTTCCTGGGCAAGAGAGGGCGTCCTTTGCTCGGGTTGGAGCGGAGTTAGACGAAGGCGGCGCAAGCGAGGAAAGGAGGTGTGGCGGGAAGAGGAAAGAGAGCCCATCGCTCCTGCCTCGATGCCCCGAAAGGAAAAGCAGGAATGGGGGATTCCGTCCTTGGGCTGCCTTTCCCACCCGCCCTTCCAGGCATTCCTAGGCCAGGCCTCGACTGAGGACCACAAGTCAACCCAACATTTCTGCTGTTAAGTGAGACTGTTGGCTAAGTGAGTTTTTTTTTTTGGCCTCCCATCTTTTACCCACCTTCCTTGCCACCGTTGTTAAGTGAAACCACCGCAGTAGCAGGGTTCTTAAGTGAGTCTGTGACTTCCCCGTTGACTTTGGTTGTCAGAAGGTCCACAAAGAGGGGGGGAAAATCACGCGATCCCGGGACACTGCCAAAGTCATAAAGAAGAGTCGGTGGCCAAACGTCTGAATTTTGATCAGGATGCTTGCAACTGTGTGAAAAAAAAAATGGTCATAAGTCACTTTTTAAAAGATGGTTCCTAAATGAACTGTGGTAAGTCAAGGAGTTGAGCAGTATCCAGTCAGCCCCTCCTGCACCAATTCTCGGCTTCATGCGGGATGTACTTGGGGTGGCCCTACTTAATCTGACCCACCTTGGAGGGTTGTTGTGACAACAAAAGTGTAGGATGTTGCCCTGGCATGCAAGAGATGATTAATGGGCACAGGATGCCATTTACAGTCAGTTTTTGAGTGGAGCCATTTTTTTCCTTTGGTTCCTTTGAGTCACAATTGCCTAGACAAAGTTCCTGCAGTTTTCTGGGCAAGGTTTTTCAGAAGTGGTTTGCCATTTCCTCTTTCCTAGGGGCTGGGAGCATGTGGCTGGCCCAAGATCCATCCAGCTGGCTTGGAGTCCGAGGCAGAACTAGAACTCAGTCTCCGGCTTTCTAACCTGAAGCCTAAACCAGACCTGCCTTCTTGAAAGGCTTGTAAAAGAAATAAAATTTAATTTGGTTGGGGAAACAGAGGTTCTTTTTTTTTTTTTTTTTTTAGAATAACAGAGAATATAGAATAACAGAGTTGGAAGGGACCTTGGAGGTCTTCTAGTCCAACCCCACGATTGAGCAGGAAACCCTATACCACTCTGGACAAATGGCTATCGAGTCTCTTCTTGACCACCTCCAGTCATGGAGCACGCTCAACTTTTCTACTTGACTTTAATTCAACAGCATCATGAAGAAGAAAATGGAGTTCACAAGAACAGAGTTGAAAATTGTTACTTTAGAGCCCCAATTTTAGCTCCATTGCTTCTAATGAATTTCCTTTCTCCTAACCTCATTGACAAAAGTATCATTTTGAATTGCTCTTTGCAATGGATTTCTGCTTTTTAATTCAGTCCAGTTGAGTGGGATTATGACTTCCTCCTGGTGAGGCTTGGCAAATATTAAGGGACCAGTAAGCGACATGGCCTATTTTTTTTTTTTTTTTATAAAATTAGGCTTGCAAAGAATGCTGAACTCTTAAGTAGATCCAAAATAGTCACTTTTAGATACCTTGCAGGAGCATCTGCAGAATATGGTAAAAAAAAAAATCAAAATCAAATGGTAACCACAAAGTGAAGCTTTTGTCTGGGACTGCAAACTGGTTACCATTTATATGTACATTGCATGGCGGGTCTATTCTTTAAATTCTAGATTTTGTATTTCATTGGTCTGGGACTGCAAATAAATTCAGTCCAGATATTATGAAACGTGCTATATACTATCTGTTGCTCCAGCTCCAGCAGTTAAGAAATTTAGGAATTGGGGTTCAGCATCAGAGGGGGTTTCTTACCAGTGACCAGAATCCTACCCTGTTTTTTTTAATTTGCTGTCTTGCAATCCAAGACATGTAAATACGCATGTAGGAAAGAAAAGAAGCATTATAAAATTTGGGGAAGTTTGCCTCCTCCTTCAGGTTGACATCGACCCCTTGAAATAATTTGGACAGTACCAATAAAGGTGTCTTCAGAGGTTTCCCAGTTCCACCAGTGTCCTAGCTGGTGTTTCTCAGTCCCTAAAAACCACATCCTGTCTCCCGGTTGGCCGAGGCAGAGAGGCCGAGCCACAGAATTGGCACCAGCTCTTTCCTTGCTCTTTCTCTTTTCACAATCCCTGCTTTGTTTGCAGTTATCGACATGAACAAGGGAGGAGGAAGAAAAGTGTCCCGTTTGAGTTTGGGGTGTCCTAATTTCTGCTGAGGGAAGGGAACCCCTGGACCTGGCCAAGCTGGGATGGGCACGGAGTAACTCCTGCAAACTGAGATTACCCATTTTGGGGTTGATGGGCTAAGTTGCTGGCGGTGAGAACAATTCCTCAGTGGCATGGCTTGACTTCAGAAGTTGTGGGTGCCCCATCCCTGGAGGTTTGCAAGCAGATATTGGACAGCCATTTGTCCAGAATGGTATGGGTACTTGTCATGCCCCTGTCGGAATCTGACTCAGAGAGGGAAGCCAGACAGCTGACAGGGAGTGTGAGTGTGACTTGTTGAAACTGGGGAAGGGCAAAGTCCAGCTGGGCAGAGCAGGGGAAAGGTAGAGCAAGGGAGAGAGAATAGGGAGGAAAACCCAGGCCCACCCCCTCTTCATCCTAGGGCACGCAGGGAGAAACGGAGAAGGGAGCAACATGAGTTGCGTGGCTTACGGGGGTGGAAAGGGCCCTGATTCCCTTCATTAGCTGCGGCTGGGAATACAGTGTATAAAAAGGGATGCTCGCACAGCAAGCTGTCTTCCCAACTGTGTGTGTTTTGCTGGCCTTCAAAGTCTGCAATTCCTTCTCCTGCCCTGTCAAGTTAATTACTGCAGTGTGGTTTGTGTGGATTTTTATTTGCTGTTTGTGTGTACTTTGTTTTCGGACTGAATTTCCTCCACTTAAAGACTGTTCTTGGGAGAGTTTTTTTCTCCAGCTGAAGGTAACCTGGACATTGGGGGCAAAGTTGGAGGTATTAAAGGGACACTTCTTACTTATTTGACTGTTTTGCCTTTGGGCCACGCCCCTTTGGGTCATCACAGTCGACCTCAAGTTACAGCCACAATTGAGCTAAACTTTTATGTTGCCAAGTGAGACATTTGTATGGTGAGTTTTACCTCATCTGATGACCTTTCTTGCCACAGTTGTTAAGTTAATGTTTACTTTGCTTGTCGGACGGTTGCCGATCACATAACCCCGGGGCACTGCGACCGTCATAAGTACGAACCAGTTGCATGGCATCCGAAATTTGATCACGTGACCAAGGGAACGCTGCAGCAGTTGTAAGTGTGAAAAACGGTCATAAGTCGCTTTTTTCAGGGCCGCTGTAATGGTCACTAAACAAAATAGGACTGCCTCAAGCACAGGGGTGGACTAGAAGATCTCCAAGGTCCCTTCCAGCTGCTGTTATTCTCTATTCTGCCCTGCTTTCCGTTGGTGGTTGCGCTGATGGCCAATAGTGGCTGCTTCCTTTGTCTCCTCTTGTTCTCCTTCCTGGCTGAAGGTGCTTCGTGTTCCCAGCAGGCTTTGCGAGTCATTAGTGAGGTTGACCTCTTTGCACAGGATTGGTGCGGTGGGGAGTGTTGTTTTGCCGTCTTGCAAATCCATCTCTGCCCGCTAGGACAAAATGTCTGGTTCTTTTCTCCTTCCGATGTTTTCCTCTTGTGCCACGTGGGCACGTCGGTTCGTTGGGGTTACTTGGTCTTGTTCCTGGTGGCAGAAATGTCTCTTCGGAGCAGAGGGGCTCACCCCGAGGATACCAGGGATATGAGAAATTGGGACGCCGGGCAACCTTGACATTTGGGGGGTGGGGAGGCTGGCATCAGACATCTCTCTTTGCCCTCGAACCATCTCGGCCAGATTAAACAGATAATCAGACTTGGAAGGGTCATCTAGTCCAACCCCCCGCCCAAGCAGGAGACCCTACACCATTTCTGACAGATGGCAGTCCAATCTCTTCTTGAAAGTCTCAAGTGATGAAGCTCCCACAACTTCCAAAGGCAACTTCTATTCCATGGGTTGATGGCTCTCACTGTCATAAAGTTTCTCCTTATTTCCAGGTTGAATCTCTCCTTGTTCAGTTTCCATCCATTATTCCTTGTCTGGCCTACAGGTGCTTTAGAAAATAGCTTGAGACCCCTTCCTCTCTGTGGCAGACCCTCAAATATTGGAAGACCGCTATCGTGTCTCCCCTGGTCCTTCTCTTTACTAGACTAGCCAAGCCCAGTTCCTGCAACCGTTCGTCGTATGTTTTAGCCTCTAGTCCCCTCATCATCCTGGTTGCTCTTCTCTGCACTTTTTCTAGAGTCTCAACCTCTTTTTTATAGTGTGGTGACCAAAACTGGATGCAGGACTCTAGGTGTGGTCTTACTAAGGCTTTATAGAGTGGTATGAGTACCTCCCTTGATCGCCATTCGTCCCTCTGCTGAGTGTAGCGTTGTGTCTCGCACCACAGACACAGAAGAGGCTGCACCTTGGCTTCCATGCTGCCCGCGCCACAGAATAAAACCCTTTTGACAAGCCGGATTTGATCCTGGCAGGATGGTAGATTCTCAGGCCACCTTCCCCCTCTCAGAGGAACCCAGCGGCTGGCACCCTTTAAAGCAAAAACAAATTTTGGGAGTTGAAGTCTGGGAGGGCCGTAAAGCCCACACCGCTGCTTTAAAGGCAGCCAGAAATCTGGGCTAAGAAAAGGCCTCTGCCCCATTGGGAAAAAAACAGAGGTGAGCCAAGATCCCAGGGTGGCGCTTGAACTGTGACTGTGAAATCAGTGGGAAGCACAAATAGATAATCTTAAAGAGCATGCCAAGTGCCGCCTTGAGTTATTTATAAAAATAATTAAGGCAAGATATAAATAAATTTGACTTTGTGGGCCATACCCTACAGCCACCTCCAATCCGGTAGGTTAAATTTTGCTCCCGATTCGCCTTGTTCCCTCTTCATGTCCTGAGGCCCCCTTTACAAACTTGATGGGAAATAAGCATGTAACACTTCCCTAACTGGGTTTATGGCCCATTCAGGACAAACCTCAATGTTTTCTTGCTTCTGTTTGCAACAGAGTTTGACTATGTACTGTGTTTGCTATTTTCAGTCTCTGTCTGTCTGTCTGTCTCTTTCTGTCTCTCTTTGTCTGTCTGTTTCTGTGTCTCTCTGTCTCTCTCTGTCTCTCTCTCTCTGTCTCTTTCTCTGTCTGTCTTTCTCTGTGTGTCTGTCTCTCTTTCTCTGGCTGTCTGTTTCTGTGTCTCTCTCTGTGTGTCTCTCTGTCTCTTTCTCTGTCTCTCTCTGTGTGTCTCTCTCTGTCTCTCTTTGTCTGTCTGTCTGTCTCTCTTTCTCTGTCTGTCTCTGTGTCTCTCTCTCACTCTGTGTCTGTCTCTCTCTCTCTCTCTGTGTGTGCGTGTGTCTCTCTCTGTCTCTCTCTGTCTCTCTTTCTCTGTTTCTCTCTATCTCTCTGCCTCTGTCTCTCTGTTTTTCTCTCTGTCTCTCTCTGTGTCTCTCTCTCTGTCTCTGTCTCTCTTTGTCTGTCTGTCTCTGTCTCTCTCTGTGTATGTGTGTCTCTCTGTGTCTGTCTGTCTCTCTTTCTCTGTTTCTCTCTGTCTCTTTCTCTGTCTTTTTCTCTCTCTGTTTCTGTCTGTCTCTCTGTGTCTCTGTCTGTCTGTCTCTCTCTCTCTCTCTTTGTCTCTGTCTCTGTCTCTCTGTGTCTCTCTCTCTCTTTGTCTCTGTCTCTGTCTCTGTCTCTCTCTCTCTCTCTCTCTCTTTGTCTCTCTCTCTGTCTCTCTGTCTCTCTCTCTCTCTCTCTCTGTGTCTCTCTCTGTGTCTGTGTCTGTCTCTCTCTGTTTCTGTCTGTCTTTGCCTGTCTCTCTTTCTCTGTCTCTCTCTGTGTCTGTCTCTGTCTGTCTCTTTCTGTCTCTCTTTCTCCGTCTGTCTCTCTCTGTGTGTCTCTGTCTCTTGTCTCTCTTTCTCTGTCTCTCTGTTTCTCTCTCTGTCTCTCTCCCCCACTCTCTTTCCCCCACCCCCCTGTTCTGCTATAAAAGGAGGTTCTGAAGATGGGAGGGTCTTCAGACTTGTGCAAACAGTTCTGAATGGCCCATTGCTTAGGCCAGCCTCAACTTTGGCTGAGGAACTCTGGGAGTTGAAGTCCACGAGTCTTAAAGTTGCCAAGGTTGGAGACCCCCCGATTTAGCAACAGCCCCTCTTTGAGGAAGGAAGGCAGCTTAGAAATATAAATAAAGCAAATATATAAGTGAAACTTGACTCCTTTAGTCCCTCCTCTTGAATGGAGATCTCAGCCCAAATCTCCCTCCCTGTAAACCATGATGGCTTTTAATAAATCACCAATAGAAAAACATCCCATACATGAGTAGGAAGAAATTTTTTTGACTGAGAGAGACTGGCTTGATCTGGGCGGAGAGTGCGAAAGAGAAAAGAACAGGTTATCAGGATTATGCTTCTGGTTAGGCTTATAATCAGCTTTTCTCCTCTGGCGCCCCGAAATGTGTATATATATATATTTTAACTCTTCCAAACCAGGTTGAGAGCACAGGGTTTTCTCAACCGTAGCCATTTTAACGTAAGCGGACTTCCACTCCCAGAATTCCCCAGCCAGCCATGGATTCTGGGAATCGAAGTCCGCGTTGTCTCAAAGTGGCTAAGCCTGAGAAACATTTGCCTTAGTAGCTTTGAAATATACTGGAAAGGAGGGTTTCTCAGACTGAACAAACCAACTTTGTCCTCCATGAAGAAAGGGAACGAGGTTGGCAGATGCTGTTCTGCTAAATCAGGATGAAATTGCCTTCTAATGAGGAAAATATATATATATATATGTTGTCATTTAAGCCTTGATATCTCTCTGAAATATTTCCTGCCTTGTTCAGTTTAGGATACAATGTAGAGAGAGGAGCAAAACAGAACTCTGGTTCACACTATCCTTTTGAGCTCCCTGTGTTCCTGTGTGCTGGTAAAGCCTATTTTATAAGTGTTCTGACCCAGGCTTTGTCAAACATAATGAAACACAAACTTGTTTTAAAAGCAAAACCTATTTTATTGCAATGCTGGGTGTTAGGGATATACACCCTAGCAGAACCTGCACGGCAGTCAGGCAGGCAGGCAAATATGTGAAATAAACGTTTTTGTAGCTTACACTCAGTAAAACAGATACACTGTACTAGTTAAATAGTTTATTCCAGTAATAGATTTGTAGCATAGTCAAAACAGTCCATATATCATACACTAGTTCAGTCCGTCCGGGGATTAATCAGTTGCAAAGTCCAGTGTCGAAAAAGAGGTCAGTAAACTTACAATATCAGTCCAGTATTATATCTCTTTGCAGTAGAGATATGAAGAAGTCAAACCTCTATTCTTCCTTCAGCAACAGTAGAGAACACGCAGTTAACAATCCATCATCGTCAGCAAGCAATCCAGTAAGCCAGCAATCAATCCAGTTCTCTTGCTCCCTCTTATGGCGATTTACAGCCGCACCCAAAATTACATGCTTTGCAGTTAAAGTGACACACACTTAAACTCACTATCATAGTCTATATATATTATTTTACCCAAACTACGTTAGGTAACCTATGTTATTCCTAACACTGGGAATTACTTTCATTCCCAGCCAGAACTAATCCTAAACAGTTCCCCAAGATAACCACGCGCCTTTCAGTGCTGTGGAATCAGGGGTGGGATTCAAATTTTTTTAACAACCGGTTCTGTGGGCGTGGCTTAATTGGTGGGCGTGGCTTGGTGGTCATGTGACTGGGTGGATGTGGCTTGGTGGTCATGTTATTGGCTGGGCGTGGCCAGCTCAACATCATTCACATGGAGGCACGCATCTCCTCGCCTGGCCTCTCATGACTGTGGGGATGCTGCAACAGTCGTAAGTGTGAAAAATGGTCAAAAGTCACTTTTTTCAGTGCCGCTGTAACTTTGAATGGTCACTCCACACAAGCAAAGTACCAGCAAAGGAGGGGAAACAAACTCCAGAGAAGTTCCTGAGACAGGAAGTCTAGTCCTGCCAAGAATGTAATAAGGGTTAACGGAGAGGCAGTTTCTGTAAGCAACACCAGAATGTTTCCTTCCTGCCTTCCGTACAGGATTAGGCCAATAATTTCTTCTAACAACCGGTTCTCCGAACTGCTTAGAATGTTAACAACCGGTTCTAGCGAATAGGTGCGAACCGGTAGAATCCCACCGCAATGTGGAATGCTGCCAAAAACAGAAGTAACCAAATTCATTATGACAGAAACCAACTGAAGTACCAGAAAAGAACGACCAGAGTTCACAGAGCTTCAAGGAAGACTCGGAATCTATCGAACTACTTTGCTTCCTGCAAAACGTTCGTCATTGAGGCCTGACTTTTATCCCTTATATGAGGGGCAATCACCTCCCAGCCTTACTCCTGAGTTGCCCCTTTTGTTTCAGCTGCTCTCGCCTTCTAGCAGCTCTGTGCATACGTGCATTGGGAACAGGCTCCCTTTGTTCCTCGGCCTCGCTGCTGCCGGACTTGGCAGCACCCCAATCCCAGCTGGTCCTGGTCCCATCCCTGCATCGGATGCAGGACCCTTGTTCGAGTCCTCTCCAGGCTTCCTGCTTGGTCCCCTTTCTTCCTCACCGTCCGACTCCGCTCCCGTCTGCACCGGCTGCCGGCGAACCACAACAATAAGACTGCTGTCCATCCCCCAACGTCGGGACTCTTGCCTAAAGACTGGGCTACCCTACAACCGGTTGGAATAACTTGATGAAATTTCCAGGTGGCGGTAGAGCCCTCGGGAACCGTTGCTGGGTGCTGCTTCAGGCAGTGTGAGCATTGCCACGTGGATCCTTCTGGGGCCGAATATTTGGTGTCAAATCCTTCCTCGTTGCTGGCTGACAGCCTAGGAAAGCAGCAAAGGATCTTTTGTGGCCAGGGAAAGCTTCTTAGCAATCATCTGTGAATGGCCTTTTGTTTAACTGCTTCTAAAAATACAAGGAACTAAGGGAGCCTCCAGGTATCACGAATAGGCCCTAGAAGCGGAGCAGCAAGCCTTAAGATCCCTTAGTTTCCCCCCCCCCCCCCCCCCCCCCCCCTAACACCCCAGGAATGGGGCTAAGCCCTTGTTTTCCTCTGGATGCTAAGTTAATTTCCAGAGGCTTAGCACTCCTATTGTTTCTCACCTGGCCTCTCTCCCTGGGGTGAGTGGGGGAATTGCACCCGCTCTTATGTCCTCTGTTTCAACAACACAGTCTTGAGAGGCTCCACCACTGCCATCCCTGCCCTCTTTATGGCTTGACCTTCTCTGTTTTACTGAAAACAGTTTTGGGCATTCGTGCAACTTGCCTGCCTTGTTAGGTGCCTAGGAAGAGGATCGTCCTACCCTTCAACTTTGCTTTCCTTTCGCTTCCAAGGAGAGGTCCCAGCAATGGAACTGGGACCTTGTTTAGGCAACCACGTTTCTCTCCAGACAAACGAACGTCTTCCCCGTCGGCTTCCGGGGCATCAGGAATGGGTAGCTGCAACCTCAGGTCTGACAGACAAGCTGAGAAATGAGTGAAGGCAAATATATACATGTCCCAGGATCAGAGGTGGGTATTCAGCAGGTTGTGGCCAGTTCTGGAGAACCGGTAGCGGAAATTTGGAGTAGTTCAGAGAACTGGCCAATGCCGCTTCTGACTGGCCCCACTAACCCCATCTATTCTCCGCCTCCCGAGTCCCAGCTGATCGGCTGGGTCTTCTTTGGTTGCACTGCACAGGAGAACGGAGCTGGAAAGCAGGTCCGTGGGGAGGGAATGGGGATTTTGCAGTATCCTTCCCTTGCCACGCTCACTAAACCACGCCTACCAAGCCATGCCCACAGACTCTGATTGGCCCCGCCCCCATCTATTCTCCACCTCCCGAGTTCCAGCTGATTGGCTGGGTCTTCTTTGGTTGCACTGCACAGGAGAACGGAGCTGGAAAGCAGGTCCGTGGGGAGGGAATGGGGATTTTGCAGTATCCTTCCCCAGCGACGCCCACCAAGCCACGTCCACAGAACCTGTAATAAACATTTTTGAATCCCACCACTGGCTAAGACGAGTCCTTCAGGAAGGGTTGTGGATCTGTTGATGTCATGAGGTCCCTAGAGACATTGTTGGACACGCTTATGGCATATTAGATGCAAATGAGGAAAGACTCTACTTCAGATATTCTAAAACATCTTGCCAAGTGACTGGCCCCGCCAACCCCATCTATTCTCTGCCTCCCGAGTCCCAGCTGATCAGCTGGGTCTCATTTTGTTGCCCTGCACAGGAGAACGGAGCTGGAAAGCAGGTTAGTGGGGAGGGAATGGGGATTTTGCAGTGTCCTTCCCCAGCCACGCCCACCAAGCCACGCCCACAGAACCGGTAGTAAAAAAAATTTGAATGCCACCACTGCCCAGGATAATGTAGGATCCAGCCTGGGTCGGTCACCAGAACCAGAGGCTTTGTCTTCCAAATTTTCGGACTGATGCTGGAATTCATCTTCAGGATATTTCTCTCTAGAAACTATATACAAGCTGAGAAATCTTGGATTTAATGTTTATCCACTGTGTGAAACAAGGACCTAGGCTTCTTGGCTGCCTCATCAACACAAACTTTTAAAATAAAAATTGTGCTATTTAGGAAAGGCACTGAAATAACGGGAGACAAGCGCTCCATAAATGCATCTTGTTGGTAGTGTCTCTCTTTCAACAAGTGGTTGGTTGTTTTTCACCAGGAGGGACTGATATTTTCCAGACATTTCTGTTCGAAATGTCTTGAGTTCAAGCAAGTTTGGAATTGGAACAGAATGTTCTCATCCCACCGGAAGAGTTCCAGAACCAACTCCGTCCGTTCGGGAAGAGTTTTGAGCTCCAAACTGCCCTGTTTTGAAAGTGACATTTTGTGCTTGGAATTATTCCAGATTATTTGGGACAGAGTGATGATGTTAGGGGCTTGGTTTGAATTCCTAACAATTTGGAGGTTGCTTAGTGCTTCGTTCCAACGCAAAGAAGCAACGTGGTAATGTTGCAGAGCCAAATGAAAGTCACAAGCGTCGAACATTGTTTTTGGCAGGTGGTATTTTATTACTTGTAATAGCTCCGGGTCCCCTCTAGTCCCTGCCCCCTCAATAACCTGCCTATTATTATCATTAGATTCTGTGTCTAAACCCAGAATTAAAATACATCTCGTCAAACTAAAACATTATTTTCAGGTGGATGGATTCAGGACATTAAACGTCCCTCTCCAACTTTGTTCTCTGTTGTCTGTGTGTAATGAGGACACAGTCCTGTATTTTTACACCTTCTCAGTGGAGCAAGCATGTGCCCAGTTCCGTGTTGTAGTTAAGCTTCAAATTTCCTCTCATGGAAAGCTGCCGCTGCCCACCAGTGAGACGCTTAAGGAGATCACCTTGGTGCCGTAAGATTGAAGCCTGAGTGGCTAAGACTGCCTCATTTATCAGTTGCCAGCTTCCTGATTCGCACCTTGTCTAACTTCTTGGCTTCTTGGCCGTAGCTCAGCAGTTGAATCTGGCGAGGGATGGCAGCACAACGTACCTCGATGTGGGGCTGGTAAGAAACAGGCACATGGTTCCAAGGGGACCTCCTCCGCTCCCTGTGTCTTTCCAAACTTCCTGAGGGTGGTAGTGTTGAAGAATCAGAGATTATTTCCAGTTGCAAAGTGTCTTTGAGTGGCAAGGATGGCGTGGACGAGTGAATCCGGGCACACAGTTGTGGGAGAAGGGCAGAAGGCCAAGGGGTGGGGGTAGAATGTTTGCAACACACTAGACCGGGCTAAAGTGAGACGGTTTTCTCCGGGGTTCAGCGTTTTATGAAGAACCAGGCCTTTTAGTACGTTATGCGGGCCGAGCATTTGCGTTAAGTGAAAGCATTGACTTTTATGGTGCCCGAATGCAGCAATTAACCTGGGTCTATAGGGGAAGCATTTTATGTGAACACAAGTTCCCTCTTTAGACTTGTAAAGTTGTATTCAGAGCAACTTTTAACGCTTGCTTAAATTGTGCTTAAGTATTGATGGGCATAGATGCTGGTAACTCCCTCCCTGGGCTGGCGAGGGATTCCGATGTAAACTTTTACGCATATCTTCATCCTTGATGTAATTTTGCTTGTTTGGGGCACCAGTTTAAACAAAAGGCAGTTGACTGGTGGGCAGGCTAGGCCACCGTGCCAGATATGCCTGTTTGAGGGGCTGTTGTTTTTTTCCTCTCTCTCTCTCCGTTTTAACTTAAATTATTCTTTCTGGAATGGCCAAAGCAGCCTGAGCTCCCTCCAACCCTTGAAGGGCTGGCTGTTCCCTCTCTTTACCTGCTCTTGAGAAATGCCAGCTGAAAATGCACTCAGACAAATCTTACCTTTTTGTGGATGGCTACCGAAAATCCGGCAACCAAAATAAGTCTGGGCAAGACTTACGTTTCTGTACAGCTCCTGGTCATGGCACTGAAGTTTGCCTGAGATAGTAAAACAACGGGGACCGTAGAGACTTGGAGATCAGCAAACAGGCTGGTTTCCTCCTTCATCACGTGTTGTTTCTGTATGTAGTCTTTTTATTTCTTTTATTGACTTAGGTTGCAAATTGCAACACTCAAAAGAGTTGTAAAGGAGGAAGTAGAGAAGGAATTTATTTCCCTTTCATTCTATCCCACCTTTATTATTTTTATAAATAACCCAAAGCGGCAAAAATACCTAAGACTCCTTCCTCCTCCCATTTCCTCCAGCACGACAACCCTGTGAGGTGAGTTGGGCTGAGAGAGGTGAGAAAGGAAGTGGCCCAAAGTCACTCAGATAATGTCATTTGAGTTTTTGAGCTTTTTTAAAGAGTGTTTTACAAAGAGTGCATATAAAAGTTTAAAATAGAAGAACTCCCTAACAAGACAATGGAAAGAGTAAGTGAAGGAAAGCAGAAAATCCAGGGCAGGGGGCAAAATTTAGGAATTGCAAAGGGAAGTAAGGGTGATTTTTGTCTGCGAAATGCAAATTAATTCAGCATTCTGGGCTACAAGGGCTTTGGTCTTGTGGGGGCCTTTTTCTACTTTTATTTGCCTTCCACACTAAGATTTGTCACAGGAGGTAACAACAGCTTTTTGAGTTGGCTGTCAAGAAGAGGGTTAGGTGTTTTTATTTTAAATAAGTGTCGCATGAGTCTCTTTAGTACAAGGCCACAGTGAAAAATCCAGTTTGTAGACCAGGAAAAGCTGCTTCTGCTCTGAATGTTGACTCTTCCCTTTTTTAAGAGCTTCAGTGGCTGTGGGAGCATGAACAGTATTTGATTCCATTGGTTTGTAGGCAAAAAGGCTTAAAATGATCTTGCAAAGTTCGTGACGTTAGACCCAGCTGCATTTTTCACCACACCCAGAGAGCGGAACAAAAATTAGAAGGGATTCTTCATGTCTAGTGGAATTTGATTCAGGACCAGCCCAGGTGCTTTTGTGTTGGGTTCAAAAAGGTGTCAGTCTTGGAAGCCATTTTTTACTTGGAAGCTTCGAGGCTGCCACATTCAGTGCCTGGGAATTTGGGAGGGGGGATTTCATAGTGAGGTAGGAGATTAGACTCAGCAACATCCTTTCTCAGAGAGTCAAGGACATGTTGCCCTGTACCTGGAGAGGTATTTCTGGAGAAATGCCTCCAGTTGGGACGGCGATTTGAGTTGGCCATGTGATGGGTGTAAGGGATGGATCTTTGAATTTCTCTTTTGGGAAGGGAAAACTCTCAAGATTCAGGTTTTCCCAGATGTGACAACTCCAGTAAAATGGAACTTTGAGAAAATGCTTGTATCTGAGTTTATTGGTTTGGAATTTGTTAGTTGGAACGCTGGCAAAAGGAAGGGGAAGAGAAAATATTTATCAGGTTACAGTGAGGTTGGGTGCTCTTGCTTAGTGGCGCAGCATTCTCCTGAAGTAGTTTTTTTCTTCCCCCGGGAAACAGGTTGGTCTCCTGGGGCCAATGTGCCAGCCCCAAAAAGAAAGAAATGCAACTCAGGTTTCAGACCAGGAACTCAGCCCAAAAACACTGACTTTCCCCTTCAGCCGCCATTTTTCTTGCTTCTTTCCAAGGTCCTATTTGTGAGATTCTAGAATCTAGATCAATGTTTGTCAACCATGGCAACTTTAAGATGCTTAAGACTTTAACTCCCAGAATTCCCCAGTCTTAGCAATAGCAACTTTCAGATACGTCAATGTCAATACACAGAATGGTCCGCAATTGACATGCTGGGGGATTCTGGGAGTTGAAGTCCACCGGAAGTCATCCAGCTTAGGAAAATCTGAGATATCTATCTATATATATATATATATATATATATATATATATAAAAGCAAAATACCCCTCACGCATCATCACAAAATCTCCAGAACCATAAAGCCTACAAACTTGAAATTTGGCACCTATGTTCCTCTTGGATTCTAGGTGCTCGCTAAGAAAGGATTTTTCGAAATGACCATCAGAGCATTAGTATTTCCTATATTATTATTATTAACACGCTCTGATGCTAAGGAGTTCTACTCCCCCTCCCCACCTGAAAAGAAATCTCTTCCAAATGCAAAACACAAGCAGAGGAGAGGAGTTTCATTTTTAGTTTCACAGCACCAAGCAGCTTTAGTACAGAACAGTTGAGCTAAGCCGCGCCCAGGCGCCTTGCTGTCTCCTTGCTCACACAAGAAATTCTGTTTCAGTTTCCAAACAGCCCTCAACTCTCTCACACACTGACAGGACGCTAGCCAGATGAATACCGATGGATGCTGGTAGGCAGAGGCAGAATTAATCCTTAAAATGTAAGGTTACAGGATGCTAGTCCCTCACAAATTGCAGTTAAGCCTAAGTCTTCCCAATAAAACCACTGTAGTAGATCTTGGTCTATCTGTTGTCTAGTTTCCAACTTGCAATTGTCTCTCTCCCTTCCATGGTTCCAGTTTTTTTGTTCGCATCCTGGCCAAGGGAAGATGAATTAACTAAGTCCAGCCCAACCTTTCCTTTCCCTCCTCCATTTACAGGATGAACTGGGCGATTCCTATTGATGTGAGTCGCTAAAATTAGCCAAGTGGGTGGTTGGCTCCAAAATAGCTACCAGCCTTCCAAGAAAAGGCTCGTTTCTCAAGATCAAAAAAAAAATCTTCTGACCTCCTTCCTCCAACCAGCTCTAAGCCCACGTTATGAAGATCGTATCGTATATAGCAGAGATAAATTTCCGGTGCGATCTGGAAATCGGTGGTCTTTATTTTAATTGCTTTGCTAAAATAGTCTCTGATCTTCCAGCTGAGATGACTTTGGGGCTTGTGCGGGGGCGGGGGGCTCTTGAGAGTCTCAGCTGCCCTGGGATCAACGTCGGAAATGAGAACAATTTCTTTGTCCTTCACGTGTCTGTTTTCCTTTTACATCGTGTCATTTTCCTTGATTAGCAACAGCCCCTAGATTATATACCATTGAGATGGTTAAACGGTTTACAGAGTCAGCCTCTTGCCCCCAACCA